AACCATAATTGCACCGGCCTTGCCCCCCGTGTCTGAGAGGACGAGTACCAAAACGTTCGCGGCAGGGCCATGGCGGGCTCCCTCACTTGGTATCGGTGGAAACCTCCCACACTCCGATGTTGGGTTGCGGGGGAGATTATCTTGATTTTGATCGCGCGCAATCCTGATTCCGATCTTGAAGGCCATCCTGATTCTGATCTTGAGGACCCTCTGGCTGCCCTGACTCTTCAGGATCTTCAGCAAGACGCATCGCATCAGGCCCTTCAAGAATCGGATAATCCCCCTAAAGCCTACTACCGTTTCACTGTCAACTGTGTCATCTTTTTGCGTTAAGGGAAGAACCTCTGTTGGGGCAACGAGGACACCAGTGGTTCCCATTCTGCTTCTGAGGACTGCTTTGAACTGTCGCCTTGATCACCTGGCCCTGTCCTGGAGTAAGGTCATTCTGCTCCTTCTCCTGGTCTTGCTGTGGAGCAGGATCAGTCTTAGGCTCTGGAGGATTAGAGGCGTCCTGTGGGCCAGGGTCTTGCCGAGTGACAAGGGTTGGCTCCAAGTCCTCGGCCTCCAACACTACATGATCCTCTTTGACCTCTATTACATCTGCAGCATAGAGATCATCTCCAATTTCCATAGCCCCTAGGACTAGCGCAGATGCTGGCAATTTTCCCCATTGGCCATTGTCCTCGCGGATACTATCTTCCCATTCACTTCATCTCCCACTTGAAGCCAGGAAGCCCCCGTAGCAGTTTGGGAACTTGGTTCTGCCCTTTCGACTTGGACGGAAGGAGCATCTCCCGCAAAGGAACAGTCCCCTGACCGTGGTCGGCCCAACATGGGCTTTCACCAACGTCGAGAACTGCAAGCACCTGCGACTTTTTACCGGCGGGGTGTTTTTGCCACGGAAATTCGCCGTACGATATCCATATTTAGGAAAGGACCATACGAAGCTTTCATCCTCTGACCACAGTTCTACGTCGCCGTAGATCACTTCATTTGCAGGATTGCCTTCCCCATCTCTTGGCGGTTGCCTCTCCGGTTCATTAGAACTAGTACTAGCAGTGTTTCGCGTCTATTCTAGGCCTACTGAGGTATTAGTTGCCTTACCAAGATCCTTTTCCTCAACATCCTTGTTGGTCGGGCTTCGCGTCCTGACCTCCTCCTGATTCCGCCAACCCGTCCAGCTGATCAACTGCTTGAACTGAAGGCTCTAGACTCTAGAACACTCTGAGCCTGAGGATCTTCCGCAGTCGCCTGAGGAGGCTCCACTGCGGAGCTGCTGCTTGCCTCCACGGTGCCGGACAGCACGGTAACTCCATCTTCCACCACCGTGGGATGTTGAGTCATGCACTGAGCACAAAGCACCTCTCACTTGTCCCAGGATGTTACACTATCCAATTGCTGCCACAGCCTCTTTGGTCTGCCCTATCAAAGTTGCCCAAGGTTTGAAGATGTCACATAGCTCCTGAGACAAGCGCGCCTGGCTGATATCCTTTTGTCATCTGACATTCCTCACTTCCCAAGAATCAGACTCCGTTGGGTCGGTTGACCATTCCACTAACACCCCTTCAACGAAGGACCCACCTGCTCCTGCCTTTTTTCCGTTAAATGGAGGAACACGTAGACCAGGCGAAATAATCACGGCTGTCCAGAGAAGCAGCCAGCGGCCATACCTATAACACGGGGCACCAACTCCCAATCCATGGAAAGTGTCATGGTTGTGAGCGTAATGCCCTGTTCCCTGTCGGATCAATAAATCTGTATCGATCCCCCTTTCTCCTGTCCTACGAGAGGCATCAGGAGCACAGAAATAAATCTCCTCCATATGCTTTGTCACTAGTGTGAGAAGTGTCTGCTCTGCGGGAGATACGACTGGATTGAGGCGTGGCAACTCAACCTGGCGCTCAGGTCTGAGGACTCGACCTTGAGCAAGTCGGAAGACAGCGGGTTGAATAGCGTTGGACACACGCGAATCTTGGCCTTGGCCAATCAACTCCTGACTTTTAGACCCAACTTCTACAGAACCCGTAGTTTTTGGCTGGGCTTCCTTCCCCGAATCCCTTGCCCAGCGGCGAGCATTAGGACTCTGCTTCGCTACTTCAGCCAAGGTCACTTCTTGCACTGTGACCTTTTCAACTAAGGAGGGGTCCCAGCATCTTCAGTCACATTACGTGTAGCTACACTAGCCAGCTTTTCCTTTTTGCTGGCTGAAGGGGAACCTCCTTGGGTGTTGGCAAACAACCATCGCCTCTCTGTTTTCCCGGATAGACACCCGTGGACGTTGCAGGAACTGCAGCTTCTGCCCCATATATATACCGATTCCACTGGCTTGATTAGGGGCTGACGCAAAACCACTGCACCCAGGCTTAGCCCTTGTATGACTCCTCCAGAGTCACCCTGACCACTACCGGTCAACACTGGGTATGTAGCCTGAGGAGAGATACTCGGCTGGTTAGGGTTTACATTCCCAACAAAACCACTACCATAGCCTAGTTCAGTACCTCCAGTGTTACGGTCCATCTAGGACTCACCTGGAAAGGGTATACACGGACCACTTTCCAGTACACTATCCTGTCTGGTTCCACTATCAGACACCGGATAACGCACGCTACTGCTACGCTATTAGAAGGGGTTTGGCCAAGACTCCCTCCCCACTCCGCCTGCACAACGCTCGACGTACCCTTAATCTGGGCACACAACGCCCGATCACCTTCATCTTCCAAGAATTGTTGCAGAAGAGCTACGTACTCTTCGTTGTAAACAGCCATGTTTCCAGTACCACTGCCAACAGTTTTCGCAGCACCACTGATCACAGAGACCTGAGCCCTAAAGGACTCTACGTGACCACTTTCCAGGTGGCGGTAACCTGTAGCACGCAATCACATCCGGGCGTCCCCTTCGCAGTTTGTCGTTCCGGACAGACTGCAATTGAAACCCGGTGGCGCTCATTCATGAAGCGGGTAACTTTCCCTGACCACGGGTCAATCACCAACACCAGTCACGTTGCCACAACTCACTCCCGACCCACAGCAATATGGCGGGCAACTCTCCCTAGTCAGGGGACCATCGCCAGTCATACGACTACGGCCGATATTACTGTAGCCAGTTTCATAACCGCTGCTGGTCCTTCCAGTCGTTCAGAATGCTGCGGTGGCGGTCTAGAAAGGAAATGACCCTCGCAGGTCATCAATACTTTGGCCTCCAGCCATACGGCTATCACCTTGCCTCATCCTGAACGTTCACTCAAACGAAGAAGAGCAGTAGCGGGCTTGGGCTCATCACCTGCTTGACGACATGGCAAAGCGGATGCAAGCAAGGCGACAATCTTTTTGCTGCAACTCAGGCAGAACATTCCAAAAGTAGGGAAAGAAAACAATGTTTCTTTTCAGAAGTTGATCTGTGCACCTACTGTTCGATGTACTACGGCATATGTTGCACTGTACATCAACCCTATTAGATACATTACATCTAGAGTTGGAGGTACTGAAGGTTTACTAATGGCCCTAGTAGAACCCTCCGAACCGAATATGGGCTGTGGGACAAGTGCATTTGCGTGAGCTGTAGGAGTGTAGTGGCATGGGCTGCGCATATGTACCGTCACCAAATATTATTCGGCTCCTTTGCCCAACCCCTTGGAAACAAAACTAATATACTCCAAGTATTTTCCGAATCCTTTTTCTAACCCCTTGGAAACCAAAACGAAATACTCAAAGTATTATCCGAATCCTTTCCCTAACCCCTTGGAAACCAAAACCGTACACTTTCCCTGCTTTTTTTGGAAACCACAATACTATACTCCAAGTATTATCCGAATTCTTTCCCTGAAATTATCCGATTTCTTTCCCTGACACTTTAAAACCGAAATAGTATACTCCAAGTATCATCCGAACCCCTTCTCCAACCCCTTGGAAACCAAAATAGTATAATCAAAGTATTATCCGAATCTTTTCCCGCACCCCCGGGAAACCCAAAATAGTAGAGTCCAAGCATTTTACGAATTCATTCCCTGACCTTTTGATCGTTAAGGGTGAATGTAGGATGAATCGTTTGTGTAATGGTCTGTATAGACAATATGTATATATACCCCCCCTTCTGCGTTCTTGCAAGTTAAATTTGATTTAGCTACGTTCGTAATGTCTCTGGTTCTAATGTATAACAAGGGCCCTTCCATGTACTAACAACGCAAAAAATCTTAGCAGTAGTTTTACGCAAAGAGTCGTCTTCTGCATAAATATTCATATCGAATAGCTCTACTCCAAGAGTCCGAAATATTAAAAACTCAAAAAAGGATCGAATATTTCGAATGAATCTGAGATTCTGATATTGAAAGATTTTGGAAGATTCTAAGATTCTGCGGGACGTTTTCTTGGGATCTTGGATTCTAGATTCGGAAGTGTTCGAAAACCTAGCAAATGTTAAATTTTGATGATGGGTTCCAAAACTTCTGTGATTCAAAGATTTCCGTGGACTCTTTCTTGGAATCTTGGATGCCTTGACTTCCAGAATCATGAAATGCAATAATAGTAGTTTTCACCTTTATAAGACAAGGTTCTAAGCTTCCAAGGAAGAGTCCCGAAAAAAAACAAAATCCGAAATCTTAGATCGCGAAAGATCGAAATTTGATATTCTAATAATTGAAATACTTTGCGTTGAAATTCATGATATCTCAAAGGATTGCATGAAATATTGACCCCAATCCTTATAATGCAAAGGCAATTCTATACATGGACATGTGTATACCAATAATATTGTATGTATCAGTATAGAAAAGGTTGGTTTTGGGGGTACCATTTACATCTGTGTATATATATATATATACACACGATCTCATCGTAATGCGAGCACACGATCCGAAAATGAAAACAAGCGCCGCAATCACTTGCACAGGCAGAACTAAAAAATCGCTTGGTTGGCGGCGCACTGTTTTTTGGGTGCCTGGTGGGCAGTCGTCGGCAACTTTGGCCTCATGCGCATGCCTGTCAAGTCCTCAAGTCTGTCTCAGCTTACCCAGGCTGGTAGCTGCGAACAAACTCCCTGGCAAAAGGCAACGTCAGCCCTGAGATGCTCATTCTGTGACCAAAGCGATCTGAGGTCCACGCTGCACCCGCTCCAAGGCCTCCTGCATGTGCTCCTGCTCTTGCAGCTCTTGGAGGGAAATAGCAAGCCAGGCAGACGCAGCTTCTGGGAGCTTCAGAATCTGGGCCTCGTTGTCATTGGGCAGCTCCAAGATGGTCATGTCAGTTTCCTCGAAGGCCTGAGGAGCATTTTTCAGACAGCTTCCACTGGCTTCCACTGCCACTTACAACAATGAGGCCTCACGCGCTTCATCCAGGCATGTTTGGAAGATCTCTGCCTGACACAACTGCGCAAGACGCTCATCCAGCAGACTCCACGAATAGCCAGAACATGAGAGCAGCTGTGACAAGTCTGTCCTGCTAAAAACATTGGCCCTGCATCCTACACACCATGCAAAGCTTACTATTCAAGCCTCTACATTCTGCTTCACTTTGCTTTCAGGATAGTGTCTTCTCTCCAGGCGGTCGTACAAGGTCTGAGCGTTGGCAAATTGAGCTTTGCTGCGTCCTCCCAATGCTGGGGTTCATACGCTAGTTTCCGCACGCAGCACAACTACGAGGTCCAACAGGCCCTCCTCAGTAATGCACGCCCTCAACAAATCAGAGATCAGAGGACGCAAGGAGCACAGCTTGACTTTAGTAGAGCTCTTACAATCTCTGGTGATGCCCTGCACTCTGCACACATCCGGGCTGCTTGCGTCTAAAAAAGCAGACGAGTGGAAGTCCACCAGGCAGCCTCCGGCCTCCTGGACACGCGTCACGGGCAGTCAAAAATGTAGGTTCGATATGCTTAATCTTGTACCGGAACCTCAAACCTAGACAAGCGAAGGTATGAGCAGTCATCTCAAACGATTGTGCATGGGCTCTACCCATACGTTCAGAGTTGCAGAGCGGTCCAACAAAGGCTCCAAGGCATCGTAGACCTGACTGAGACTCAGGGCAGCTGTTCATCATGCCCCCTCGCAAAGCAATAATTCCCACGAACATAATGGATCATGACTTGCCGAGGGTGCGCTAAGTCAGCAGCCATTTCTTCGTCAAAGATGCTGCAATCCTGCTTCTGTGCTGGAACGGACCCCAATTTTTTTCTTGGCGCATGCCCTCTTGCCAGCTTCCATGGCATCTCATCAATGGCAGCAAGACCCAGAATGTAAGTAGCAAAGCTGTCCAATTCGTCATCCCACTCTTTGTACAACCTGCAGCACAATTGCGAGAGCGAATCTATTGCACAGCTGGATACTAGGGCCATGCTGATCGAGAGCAAGCATATTTCGAACTTTGGCCGGCAAGGAACCCCCTACCACAGTTGGTGAAGTCGAAACGCGTGGCTGCCAGCATTGAGTGTCCAACCTCCTCTCACGAACCATTTTGCTCACCTGGCATGAACAAACCAAAGGCACAAGCATGACAAAACATTATTTACTACAACTACTCCTCCTCCTGCCTACTACTTCTGCTGCTACTGCCACTGCTGCTCACTGCTCATTCTGGTGATTGCTACTTTCGCTGCTACTCAACCTTCTACTACTATGACCAAAATTTCAAGCACCCGTATTCCAACGCGCACACACCTCCTCCTAATCCTACATTTACAACAACAAACATGTCACTCCGATTGGACTCATCCATGTGATGTATCGCAATGCGACACCCACGGCCCGAACCTCCAGGTGCTCCAGCTGAGCTGAACCTGCCAAAGCCTCAAATGCGAAGAGTTCCGCAGAGCAGTTGCATTGCTACTGTGATCCGTATCAACGACATGAAGGGAACAATTATCACTGCTATATGACTCTTGATACCATACTGTTTGCAATATGCTTGTATGGCACACATCACAGTGTTAGCGACGAAAGGCCAACGCACCTCACAAAAAGTTGTCTTTCCAACGCCAGGTGTGCCAGTCACCAATATGTTGGGTTTTGGCCTGCAAGTCTGCAAAGCTTGTCATCACCAACAACTGCACATATGTCAGGGAGATGTGGCACTGAAATGGCAAGGAAAACAACATGTGGTGAACATCGCATCTGGTCGGCCTTGACATGGCGGCAAACTCTTACTCACATCTTTTTCTGCAAGCGAATTGGGTCACGTTGCAAAAATACTTGCTGATATCTACAACATTCTGATAATCATTACAGTAGACCAATTGCCGTCAGTTTGAGGGTCCAACCGTGTGTTCGCACAACTATATGCCTCACTTCAAGCCAAGAATATTTTGCAAATGGCGGTTTGGCAAAACTGAGTAGCACATGCAAATTGGCAAACAGCACATGACCTCAATTGTTGATGCCCGTTGTGCTGACAGAAGTTCAGGAAGAAAACCCGCGGGTTTACGGCATTTTTGATCAGTTGCTGGTACCGAGCTGCAGCTTTTCGGCAAAGTCTGGATCTAGCAATCATAAACCCAGTGATGCCAATTGACGGGCAATCTGCCCAAACAAACAAGTGAAAAACACACATTACAAGAATCGGATTCGGCAAATCACATACAACGTGGTATTCAGCATCCTCATGTGATGTTGGACTGCGGCGCGACGTAATCCAAGCACAGCAGCTCAAACAACCGGTTCCATTTGATTTGCGACTTGGCAAACAAGCAGGGATCTGTGAAAAGGAACCATATGCTGTAATGTTCCCCTTATCCAACACAAACGTCAGCAGGATGTCAGTGATTCAATCAACATGCAAAGCTCATGGTTCAAATGTGAAACGTTTTTGTTTGCGGATTGTGCCTGTCACACAATACATGCAGTGTGCCAAGTTGCGGTAGCATCCTGGATGACGCAATGAGACATGTACAACGGCCATCCGACATACCCTGCATGATAGTGTCAAAGCTCCAAAAACGTTACGGCAATCGAATTTTTCACCTGACATCCCGGCCAAAAACCCTTCGTCATAATCCTTTTGATTGCCAAAAATGTTTGACGCTGTCCCCTCCATTTCCCTTTTTTTTCCGTTTGCTTCCCTGCATGTTCTCCGTTTTCCTCTTGCTTCCGTGTTGTTTGACATTGTTACATCTATCTCCTCCAAATTGTCCCTTTGGTCAGCAATTATTTTCACCTCGTTGTATGTAATTCGCGTTTGTCCTTGTTGTTGCCTACCCAACCCCCCTTTTGTTGTTTTCCTGTTTTTCATGTCCTGTCTTGCCCTCATCTCATATTCTTTTTTTGTGTGTCCACACTGCGCACCCTCATATCCCATTTGCTTTTGTTTCAAATGACTTACTGTACTGCTTCCTCTCACGATTGCTCCTGAATTCCCCCCTCATTTCTGCGTGCTCAGCCCGTTTTGCCCCTTTTCATGTCATGTGATCTCCAATTGGCTTGGTTTTTGTTTCCCTCGCTTGCCTTGGCTCTCCAGCCGCCCATCTTGCCGTTCATATTCGAATTGTTTCGTCCATGCGTCCCCCATTGCTTTTCCTGTGTCTTCAACTTGTCCTTACCTTACCTTACCTTACCTTGCCTTGCCTTGCCTTGCCTTGCCTTGCCTTGCCTCACGTTTGTTTGTGCTTTGCGTCCTTGCCAAAGCTTGACTGAGCATGCCAGCGGCGGCACACCTCGTCTACACCTCCAGCGGCGTTGGAAGCTTTTTGTTGGCTGGCAGGCAATTATGATCGTTTGGCTTACTTCCAAATCACAAATAAATGAACGATCCATTCGTTCAACTATGTTTATCCAAAATAGTTTTCAACATGATTAAGTCACGGATACGACGGTGGCTAAATTGGAAGCACGCAAGATGTTCCAACACAATGATAACAAAGTAACAACAAGACACGCACACACTACAGCGTATGCAGGTTTGTAATTTGAACCAAACATGAATGCATGTGTCTCTTCAACCGAAGCACTGACCTCTAAGGACCTCTTGCTTGTACATGTTGCAAAGGGGTGCTGGACCTCGAGTTCAGTTACTTTCAGCGTCAGGTTGGAATGGACTCTTCGGAGTTTATCGGTGTAACCTGAACCCAAGATCTGCCAACAGCCTCAGCTGTGCGGGCATCAGCAGGTTGGTACTGCGAGGCGTGAACGCTACAATCACAAACTCTTGGGAAGGATTGCTCGTTGGGACTGCGCAGGGCAGAGTACCAGGATCCAATCCAAAAGGGCTGGTCACTCAAGCACTTTCTCGATTTCGGACCTGAATCCGTCAGGACAAGGAATGTTGCCGGACGCGTCTGCGATCCAGACCTGCCCTTCACTGACCTGTGTAAGAGGTATGATTGCGGCTGATTGCCTTCTTAGTCTCTGACTCGTTAAAACGAATCGCGACGACTAGATACGATGAGGCTTCAGGAAACGTAGACAACACTAAACTTGTGTTTGGGTAACGTCCTCCTAACGATTCGATCGGAAGGATGATTGTTGTACATTTTTGTCAGGCCGTTCGAAACCTGTTCCTTGCTTTGGACATATTGGGCTGACTACTCAGGATCTTCCAAGGTCTCCGTCATGCTTGCGAGGTTGACCTTGTGGACACGCGAAAAGTGACGCAGTTTCGCGCTGTATCCGGTCTTCAGGATCTTGAGGACCTTCTCACCTTCTCGTTGTCCTGAAGGAATTTCACTGGCACAGTTGCCCTCAGTCCGTCCTGCAAGAACGTCTGCAAGTGAATCACGTCGCCGTACATCGCTGAAGCCATTGCCATGCACTCAGCCCCTCGGGTAGACCTGGCCACCGCTTCTTCCATTGCCACAGCCGGAATCTGTCACTCACTGGATGACTATCCCGGCGGTGCTTTTGGCGGTGCGTGGACAACTGGCAAGGTCGGCATCAGTGAAGACATAAATTTCCGCCGGCACTTCCCCAGTGACGGTCGCACGCATTCAAACATCCTTGGTGCAATGGATGTACGACACGAGTCTGAAAATTTGGTGATCCTCCCAGGCAGTCCACCTAGTGACTGTAGTCGCTAACCTCCCTACAGCAAATGCGAAATCAGCCCGACACAGCCTAGCTAACCATAATGCCTTCATCAAGACTTTTGGACACATGGCAGACGCAAAAAGGTTTGTTTGTTTTCTAAAGGAAACTAACTTTAGGCTGCCAAGTTTGTTGCCGCGCGAGAAACGTTTATTTCGAAACCTGCCAGAAGGCGGAGAGGAAGAGGGAGGGATGGGAAAACTAAGTTAGAAACTTTGGAAATGTTTGTTTCGGGCGAAAACTAACGTTTTCCAGAATTGCTGGTTTCTGGGTAAAAGACCTTTTCCGGAAACGTTTGTTTCTCGGGCAGAAGCTAACCTTTTCCAGAAACGTTTGTTGTTGCGCAGACGTTTTCCGGAAATGTTTGTTTCTCGGGCAGAAGCTAACCTTCTCCGGAAACGTTTGTGGTTCGGCAGAAACTAACCTTTTCCGGAAACGTTTGTTCCTGGACGGAAACTATTTTTTCCGGAAACGTTTGTTTTTGGGAAATTAACGTTTTCCGGAAACGTTTGTTTCATGGGAAGAAACTATTGTCTGGAAACCTTGGTGTTTGCGCAGAGACGAACGTTTTCCGGAAACGTTTGTTTGCAGAGGCAAAAAAAGATTTTCTGGAGACGTAAGTTCGGGAAACTACTGTTTCCCGTACAAGTTAATCTCTGACCGAGTAGTAAAGATTCAGAAAGGTTTCCGGGAAACGTTTGTTTCTGGCTATAACAGACAAACCCGCCCCTTGTGGACTTTTGACGCGGGCTCGTGTAGTTGACCTTGCGCGGCGACGTCCTCGTCGGTCGTTGCGCTCTCGGGTAAGCTGGGGTTCACTACTTTCCTGTCGGGACTGAGGCCGGTGAGGTCGCAATAGGCTTCCACAACTTGGGCTGCATACTCAACCTTGCTCATGGCCTGTGGACTTATAGAATGTAGATGCCCAAAGATCCTAATCCTTTTGGAGTCTATGAAAGCTGAAGGATCAAGTTTGACCCACTTACGTAGTTCAGCCCAAAATGCAGAGTGGACAGACCACGGTCCACACAGCGTTAGATCGTCGACGTAACTGTTGAGGATTATTTTTTGCGAGCGCACTATCGCACCAGCTGACCTCAAGTTCGGTCCACACATCTGCTACTCAGACGAAGCCACCAATTTCAGTAGCCGTTCAAGTGAAACATCGCCGCACTCAAGTACCTGTTAAGTCAAGGGACAGACACCAAAGTTCTGTCAGTGCAATTCCGGGCTCAAGGCGAGCAACATTCATCCCATCCTGACAAGAGTTTGCATTCATACACAACGCACCTGGCAGCTTTGAATGTGTATGGACAGGATTATGATTCCATTGTGATATTTAAGAAACCCAGTTATCTACTTGGAAATTCGCTGGCTTTTATGCCACGCATGGAAATGAAGATCCCGACAAATACTCCTTCCAGAGCCTCCCTGCCTGGGGGTAAGCCATAAAGGCTTTTCCGAAGTCTTACGACCAGCCTTGCATCAGGACCGAATCTATCTATCCATCCCGGTACCTGGGCAGCGGGTAAGCTTGGATAGCATGGAAACATGATATGGGTTGGCAGGCAGCCACACCATCAGCAGGCGTTCAAGGCAGTAAGCACCATCGGATTTGTCGACGTGTCGCTGAATATTATGAGCTGATTATTCTCTGTCTCCTTGATAGACGACTCGGCCCTTGACGCGCGTTGGGCCACGTGTACTTCGGCATGCTTGGCACCGCACAACGTCCAGATTTCAGCCACGCGTAGCTTCTTGCCATTTGCTCGCGCCTCTCCCCGCAGCTTAGGGCTTAGGGAATGTTTCAATGCTGTCGTCATCCCAAGCGCCATTGTCGCGGAGGCCTTTGGCTTCCTTCCTAAATTTTTGGCCAAGTTTCGGGTTAGGAGGGCACTAGCGCTCAAAAAACTGAGATACGGGTGATTCTTGAAGCATTTCTGCGGATAAAGCGATTCAACGACCAGGTCGGCAAAGGCCTCGGGTTTGTGTCTAGTCCCCTTGGTTTTGGCTCCCTCAACCGGGTCACGCTCATGATTGCCAGGGCACGTCCCCAAAGGCACAACCGTGACATTGAACTTTTTGCAGACCGTGTCGTTCTATGAATTCTAACACT